AACAGATTCATACCCCAGAGCCCCCGAAAGGAACACGGTCCTGCCATCACCTCAGCCTCAGCCCAGTGACACCTCTCTCTGACTTCTGGCCTTCAAAACTGTAAAAGAATAAACATATGTTGTTCTAAACCACCCAACCTGTGGTCATTGTTATAGCAGCTGTAAGAAACCAACATATTATGCTGTGAGGGTGATCACTGAAAGAGCAGACGTGGCATTGATGACTTATTTGGGAGGAATACTTCCGCTTCCGCTCCTCATGTTCCTACGGTGGTTTTTATCAAGTCACTCAGGGCCCCTCCTTCCTGCTCCTGTCTGGTAGAAACAAAATGATGTCTCTGACTGACGATCTGAGAGAGGCAACTCATTGGTTCTCAAACTGACCCCTCTACACGGAGGGCAAGGAGAGACCGAAGAAAGAGGCAGATCATTCCCGATTAGTAGGTGGCAGGTGTAACCAGGAAGGGAACTTAACTCAGGAGGCTTGTTTTGGGACCACAAGGCGAGGTGATCTCCACATCAGCCCAAGAGAATCTTAAGTTTATATGTATAAGTGAGATCATATGATATCTTTTTCTGTCTGGCTTACTTCACTTAGTATGATAATCTCTAGGTCCATCCATGTTGCTGCAAATGGCATTATTTCACTCTTTTATGGCTGAGTAGTATTCCATTGTATAAATATACCACAGCTTCTTTATCCAGTCATCTGTCGATGGATATTTAGGTTGTTTTCTTGTCTTGGCTACTGTAAATAGTGCCGCTGTGAACACTGGGGTGCATGAATCTTTTCGAATTTGAGTTCCCTCTGGATATTGCCCAGGAGAGGGACTGCTGGATCACATGGTAAGTCTTTTTTTAGTCTCTTGAGGAATTTCCATACTGTTTTCCATGTTTTAGTGGCTGCACTAAACTACATTCCCACCAGCAGCGTAGGAGGATTCCCTTTTCTCCACACCCAATCCAGCATTTATCGTTTGTAGACTTTTTAATGATGGCCATTCTAACTGGTGTGATGAACAAAGTTTTATGACTCACATTTCTTGATTTCCAGACCAGACCTACTATAAAGCTACAAGAATCAAGACAGTCTGACATTAGAAAAAGGACAGATATGTAGACCATGAGAAAGTCCAGAAATGGATAGAGATAAATATGCCAAGCAATTTTCCACAAAGATGACAAGTCAATCCAGTTTAGAAAAGTTAGTCAACACTGTGCCATTGCTGAAGCAATTAGACATCCATATGTAAGCAGATGGATAAATGAATGACTAAATCAGTGAATACATAAATCAATCCCTAACCAGTACCTCACCCATATAAAAAAAACTAACTTGAAATGATCATTCACCTAAATGTTAAGCCCCAAACTGTGAAAATGTGAGGTTGGTCAGGCAAAAATTTCTCATAGAGCACAGAAAACACAAACTGCGAAATTTAAAAAAAAAAAATAAAAGAATTAGGTTTCATCAAAATGAAAAACGAATGTTCCTTAAAAGACGATGTTTAAAGAATGCAAAATAAGCCACAGACTGAGGGGAAATATTTGCAAAATACATATCTTGTTAAAAAAAAACCAAAAACCCAAAACCCTGATCTCTACAATTTACAAGAAATTCTCACAACCCAACTGACAGCTGCATGCAGCACTAGGAAATGAAACTTGCCAAGCTTCCACGGATGGAGTAGCGATGATGGGAATAAGACTGCTGAAGAATCCTGGAAACCTGGGTGGGAGTCTTGGCCAGTTTGGCATCCTCACTGTAGAAGACCGGCACCTTCCGCTCTGCCGTATGGAACCCATTCCGACAGCGACACCATGTGGCAGTGAGAAGCAAATGCAAAGCAAAGAGGTTCCTGTACAATTAACAGCTTGAGTGTGGAAGCTGAATTGAACATTTTGGGGACTGCGTGTAGCTCCTAGAATTGAAGACGACTTCAAAGGCTGAAGATTATGGATTCCTGCTAATTATTCAGATGAGCATATTGAAAAATTAGAGAATAAAAGAGAGTCCACTGTACTTGCACCCTGAGTTGGTGAAACATTTCATATTATATGATGTTACCCTCAACAGCACAACTGTATGGTAACTTGATACTTTATATACCGCTATAATTCAAACTTACAAGAATTTGTGTTAGTTTTTTGTTGCTACCATAACAAATGATCACAAACTTAGTGACTTAAACAAGTTTCTTTTATATTCAGGAGCTCCTAAGCGAGAAGTGGGTCTCACAAGGCTAAAACCAAGTTGTGGCAGGACTCTGTTCCTTCCCGGTGGCTCGCAGGGAGGATCCGTTTCCTCATCCACTTGAGTTGATGGCGAAATCCAGTTCCATGCGGATGCAGAACTGAGAACCCCATTTCCTCGCTGGCTGTCAGCTGCGGGCCATTCCCAGCGTCCAGATGCCGTTTGCAGTCCGTGGCTTGTAGCTTCCTTCTTCCTTCTTCAAAGTCAGCGGCTGCAGGTTGAACCCACCTCTCACGGAATCTCCCTGACCTACTCTTCCACCTGCTCTTTTTCACTTTTAAGGATTGAGATTAGATTCTAGGACACTCGCAGATAAACTTGGATAGTTTCCTCATCTCGAGGTCTTCAGCTTTGATCCCACTTGCAAGTCCCTTTTGTCATATAAGGTAATATATTCACAGGTCCTGGGGATTAGACTGTGCACATCTTTGGGGGTGGGGGGTGGGAGGGAATTACCCTGACTACCATAAATATACATATATTTTTAATATTTAAAAGTCTAATCTTAGAAATCTCTAGACTTTTCTGCGAGAAAAGCCAAACTTTTTAGAACAGCATTTACCTAATCATTCGTAATGTTCCCTTCTGCCTGGCTCCTTATTCCCCTCCGTTCAGCCTAAACTAGATTAAACTTGAGGTCAATGAAGGGGTTTCAGTAAACCTCCTGAAATCGTGTGCAGAATTGCACATGTATGCTTATTTTTCTGGAGAAAAGGTCCAGAGCTTAGATTCTCAAAGTTCTCTTTGAAAGACCCTCCCCTGAAAAAAAGGAAAAAAACTACAAAAGGGTTTGTAAACAAATGTGTTGCTTTCACACAGCATACACTTTCATGCTTGCACATTTTTGTGCATCTTATTCTTAGACTGGGTGGTGTCACGGGAAGAGTACTTGATTATTTGAAGCTCTTGGGTGTCTGATACAAGCCAAAACTGGCCACGTGATGATGGCATTTACCTAATAACAAACAATGAAGGTAGTAGCAAGTTTGAGGGGAAGCCACCAAGATGAGAGCAATCCAGGACCAGTTCAACTGATGGACCTTCAAGGCAGCCAAAAAATCAAGGGGAGATCATCTTAACTAAGGGAATCTAAGGAAGAATGGTCACATTGTCCATAGTAAAAGTTACGGACATGATAAAAGCTGCCGTAAACTACACGGATGGAGAACAGAAAAAGGGGAAATTCTGTCACACGTATGGCAAATTATTGACATTTAGAAAAAGTCAAAAGTCTCTGTAGAAAAGAAACCCAATTTTCATAGGAAATGTAAATAAAACATGTTTTAAAAAAAGGCATTATTCGTAATAGCAAAAATGTTGCCCAAATGTGGCTGCATCTAGAAACCATTATACTCAGTGAAAGTTACCAAGCACATGCGATTCTATTTACATAGTCGGGTAAGCACACCGACTGCCAGAGGCCTTTCAGGTGATAAAAATGTTCTTTATGTTGGTTACACAACTGAATCCATTTGTAAAGCTCCTTGAACTGTACCCTTAAAAATAGATTAATTTTGTTGAATGTAAATTATGCCTCATTCCCGTATTTTAATACTTAAGGATACACACCAGGCTATTACCATGGATTGGGAGGGATGTGATGGGGAAGAAGAGAAAGCCAGGGGAAAAGGTTAAAAATAAAACCACTTTAAAAATTGTGTACATGATCCCATTCATGCACTGATGAAAAACTGTATGTGTCTGCATAAAAAAAGCTTGCCAGCCCTCCAATCCTGCAGTACAGCTGTGCAATGTCCAATACCTGTATCTCTGGCATGTTTCAGTTCAGGGGAGATTAGGTGATGGAAGCCAGTGGGTAATGGATTACGGTAGAGTAGGAGGTGGAGGATGTGGGGCAGTGAGTCCAGCAAATCTAACAAAGTATTGGTCAAATTGTGTAGTCTGGCTTTGGAGCAGCAATGAAGAACTGCAATGAATTCTGTAACTGGCCTCAATATTTCCAAGAGTCAGTACCGGCACGTCTGTCTAAAATGACCAGTGTTTCTAAGGGAATCTGCACATGGGGAACAGCAGCAGCTTTTGGGCATCAGGTAACATCAGCTTTTCTAGAAGGAGCCGGCTGTGGCGAGGGCTGACGGTGCTTCAGAGGTGGCGCAAACGGCCCGCGATAGCGCAGCGAGCCGGAGGGGCTGCAGCACCTCCAGCTTTTCTAGACATCAGCCTGTGCCTCCGCTGAGTGTCCAGCTGTTCGTGCCGAGACGGAAGTAACACCACCCAGCTGGTTTTCTGTTTTAAGAATTAGTAATAATATATACGCACAGGATACGGCACAAAATAGGTCCTCAGTTAGTGACAGTTACAGTATTAACCCCCTGCCAAGACAGGACTCAGAAACATACTGAGGAACCACATAGTAGCTGTTGGATGGGTGGATGAATGGATGGATGGATGGATGAATAAAACTAGGAACCAGCTCATCAATTCCAGGGAACTGCCTAATTTTCCCAACTGAGCTTGAGTATTGTTTTCTTTGGGAAGTGACCTTCATCCCAAGCTACGCAAGTTTTCGCTCAGCGGTGCAGCTTTCCTGCCAAAGGCAATGAGTGGCACAATTACACGTGTAGTTTTTTTTCTCCCAAATTAAGAACAGGGCCGTACATGTAGCAGAAGCACAAAAGATGTCTGTTGGCTAGAGGAAAGAATGGCGCGGATCCGACGGAAAGTGATTTCCCACCACTGACCAGCTTACGTCAAAGAGGAAAAAAAAAAGAGATTTAGGAATATCCCCGTTTATCTTTATAAACTTTTTATTTAAAAAATAAAATTATAAACAAAATACAGAAAAATATTGACGCCTGTGATAACCAGGAAAGGGCTCCTAATCGTTAGGGCGGCTGCCATCCTGGACGAGCAAAACCATGAGTTTCATGAGGAAATTTTATTGTGCAAAGAAGGAATGTACTTTTGCAGGTTCATTTGTAACAGGTATTTGGCATCGACAGAAAAAGAGTTTCCCTCTATACATTCAGCATTCTGCAGTGTATTTACATTCAAGTTACATTTCCAGATTCTATGCCAAATACAGTCTGACTTACCATCAAAAATCCCTAAGATATTATTAAAATGCTGTTTATTTGGGAGGAGTGCGGTACAATTTTATGAGAAAATAATTTTACATTCCTCCTAGGTCAGTTGTATCTTAACCACTTCAACAAAATTCACTGGCCTTTTCTTCCCAGCTGAAGCCAAGCCTCTTTTAGACCAACTGATAAACACAAACTGAAACTTGGCCAGAAACAAAGTTATACGGTATTTTTTTCCCCTCCTTCCTTACAGACACTATTTAAACTTCCAATGGAAGGACACTGGCTCTGATCAATGACTTTTTCTTTTCCAGTCTCTGGGACTTACTATGGATGCAGGTTGCCGAATTTGAACTTCTTTTTAAAGATGGCTGACTCACTCTTCCCTTTCAGTTGTTACCAAATTCCTCATCAAAATCACACACTAAGAAACCCACACAGTGTTCTGAAAATTCTTCTCCATTTTTCCCATTACACATTCAGATGATTTACTCATTAACAAACTGCGAATTTCTTGCTTAGTTTTTCTAAACTATACTAGGAGAGCTATCCCAATTTCCTGATAACCTTACCATCTCGTTTTTTAAATTATGATTTTATTAAAATCAAAATAAATTACAAACAGCTTCCACCGTTGCTACAGTCCTCTGAGAAATTTACCTGAACTGACTGGGGGTCAAGGCCCCACGGGGCTGCCAGTCTCGGCACGATTTGAAAGTTCTCCTGCCTCCAAGTGATTCCAGACAAATCAAACACACTCATAAGATGTAGCAATTCTTAATCATCTCAAATGAAGTTCACTTTTTAAGTCGAGAAAGATAATTAATGACAAAACCATGGAGACAGGTGAATGCCACTCAGCTGGGCGCTTCCTTTCTGACCGACTTCAGGTTGTAACTTCCCCTCCAGCGCAGGCTGGCTGGCAGTTGGCAGTGGGTTGCTGGGTTGATGCCACTTCTAGCTCAGATTCACGAACAAAAACCACGGCGTCTCCACTGACGTTTATCAGACACTGTGCCTGTAAGAAGAACAGGGCACGCTCAGTCACACGCTCGGCGACTTGCCCTCCTGGGGGCAGGGCCACGTAGCCGAGAAAGCGAACGACCCAAGAGAAACGTGAGCCGAGGACAAGAAGGCGACGCACAGGGAAGGAAGCAAAAACACTCATTAAGACAGTTATTTAATTTTTTAAGGGATCTTTAACAACTGTAAGTGGGTTATTATGTTAACACTACTGACAAAAGAAACTGATTCTAGAATTTAACCTAAGCCACACCCCTTCGCCCCCATTCACAGAATTACATTACTGATTAGAAATGACCAGTGTGGCCCCATCACCATGTACCCTTCACCAGGATGGCGGTTAGAACTGGGCAGCGTCACAGTCCAAACCCGAGAGCATCTTCAGCCCTCCTCACTTAGCCACCGCTGTATTCCAAAGACGCACCAAGAAGACGGTGTAAACGATCATTTGGAGCAAAACTTCCAGAGGTATTTAAGAAAAATAACTAGTCCCTGGGGATGTGAAGACAGCATCTGACCTACATATGATCATGGTTATCAATCTGCTCATTAAAATACGCTCTAAGCATCGAGAATCAAAGAGCTCTGAGGAGCAATTCTCTTTTTGGGGACAGGGCGGGAGGAGAAAAGGCCACGGGGGAAATCCGCAGGCTCCCCCAGCGGAGGTTTCCACCCACGTCTCACCTGGTTTTTATTGGGGTTCTCCATGAAGACGCACTGCTTCATGATGTAGGAGACAACAGCGTTCCCGCCGAGCGCCGCCACGTGGGCTCTCACCATCGCGAACACTTCAGCGATGAAGGCGTGGAGGAAGCCGCTGACTCCTCCTTCCTAAACAGCAACGCCCGAGAAAATCAGCCCCAGGCCTGCGCACGCGAGGGTCTGTGAACCACCACGTGCACTGGAACATCTGAAGTGCCCTCAACATAGCGGACGAACATTTTGCCTTCTTCATAATGGGGATCTGTCGCGTGAACGAACAAGCCAGCCTTTACTGAACATGCGTCTACGTGGGTTGTCTCTTCATTTCACAGATGACGGGAGGGAAGCGCGGAGAGT